AATTAAAAAAAAAAAAATATGCTCATTATTTACAAGTAGAAAAAATTCAAAAATTAAAAAAAAAGTTTAAATCTTTTAAGCTAACATTTTAATAAAATTATTCAGCAATAGCAACGTTGTCAATAAAATTGAACAAAAATACTTTCTTTTAGTTTTAGATTTTAAACTTAAATAATTATTTTACGGGGGTTTGATAGGTTTTAAAATTATTCCATAGATTTAAAAATATTTATTAACTGTTAGACGTATTTAAAGTATTTAAGAGTAATTTCGAGGAAACATTTTAAAAATTGGTGAGGGCAAATAAAAAAAAAAAAAAAGACTAATATTAAAACGTATTCTACTTGATTCAATAAAAAAGTACAGTTATTAAAATTTTTGTAAAAAGTAACTCAAAAAAATTACTTAAATAATAACGATCGCTTTTATGTTAAAAGTTACCGAAACTCAACGAAGCGTGCTCAAGAACAATAGAACGTCAATAGTTTTTCGAATAATTTTTAAGAATAATTTTTTCGCTGAAAATATTTCTTTTATACCTATAAGATTTTTATTCTAACATTTTATTTTATTTTACTAGAAATAAAATTCCTTGTTAACATTAAAAATCTATTATAACGTTCGTTTAAGTTTTTTATTAATACGAGTGATTGTGCTTATCAAACGCTTTATGAAAATAAATAAAAATAAATAAATATTATATAAAATCGCTTGTAAAAATATTAGCTATTGCACAGTTTTTTATCGTACAATATTAAAATTTCCAGTTTATTACTCGCTGACTTTTTAAAAAGAAAAAATAATTATTTGAAAAGCTTTAAATTACATATTTAAGAAAAAAAAAATCAAATATTAGCATATTTTATAATCTAAGTTATAATATTATATATATAAATTTAAGTTATAATGTTTTTTATTCGTTTAGTATAGACAAAACGTGACAAACGTCGAGAAAATAAACAAATGTTTTTACATTTTAAAAAATGAAACATTCCAAAACATTTTTAAATAATAACATTTCTACATAAACGATTTAAAGTAGTTTTGCGGTAATTAAGTAAATTGGTGCAGTTAATGTCGATAAATATGAAAAGCAAATAAAAAGAATTTAATGACGTCAAAAATCACGTTGTGCTTATGCGTCGCGCAGTTCTTATTCATCGCAAGGCCTGATATATATATATATATATTTATATATTAGGGCAGGTCATTTTTCAAATTTTCCCAATAAATGCTTAGGCCATATGATTTTTAAATGTTTTGGCCCTTATATAAAAGTAATCCAAAAAAAAAAAAAAATTTTAATTTTCAGGTTTTCAAATTTTGACCTAAAAAATTGAGGTTTTGGATAAATACGCTATATACGCGGTTTGCCGCAACTTTTGACCAGTTGCTCTGATTGACTCAATAACAACTTTTATGGAATCCTTGATCCCAAATATCCCTAATTAGACACCTAGATAATCATTTTAGCTTAAAAACTTATAATTAGAAAAGTTTACAAAAATCGTTATTTTTGATATATTTTGCTATAATATCTTCCATAACAATGTTATGTGAATGTAATGCAGCAAAACGGTTTCAAAGGACTTCTCAACCACAACACTAGGCACAATCAATTAGAAACATGAAAAATCATTAATTATTGTTTATAGCAGTATTTACCAATTTATTATTCACATTGCAAGAGTAAACTTAATTATACTAAATATTCAATAAATATAAACTTATTGCTTTAAAAAGCTTAAGCGAATTCTGATTAGATTCTAAAACAGGAAAAAGTTCTTTGTGAGTTATTGTTGCCTTTATAAACCCATCTCGTCTTTCCTGTCTGTAAACTATACTAGAAGCTCTTGTAACTTCTTTCACAATTTTTTCTATGGGTTGCCCAAGTACAGGAAATTCTGGAACTTCCATTGGGACTTCTAAAAACTTAATAAGTTCTTCTTTACCAATCTTGCATGTGAGCAAAGGTTCGTAAATCTCATTACTCCAATCAATCAATTCGATAATAGCTTCAGCATTAGTATTAATATTTGGGATATTTCTTGATCTAACAGCAGTAATTCCTAGGGAGCTTGAACTCCTTATTGAAAGTATTTTATTCACTGCAAACTTCCTCTCCGTTTTATCTTTTCTGCATAGTAGTGCTTGTAGAATAGATTCACTGTGAGCATTCCAGGCAGAGGAGCAAACATAGGGCAAAACTGCTTGTTCAATATTTAAGTTCATTTATCGGACAAGTTTAGGCTGTTTGATAATATGGTATGGTCCATTGGTCCATTTATGTTTTACCTGAACAGTAATAATACATTTTTCAAAAATAAATAGACGATTGTCAAACTACATAAACATTTTTAAACATTTCTTACTTTAATTTCAAACCATAATACAGAATATACACCAACACAAAACTGTACAAGGTGTTTTAAATTCTCAACATCGTTTTTATTTAGTCCATGCTCGAAACACCAAATTCTGCAAAGTCTACTTACCAAATTCAACCAGTGTGCGTTATTGTGGGGACCAACTTAAATGTCTTTTAAATTTTCGGGCATTATTTTATTTTCAATAGCCGTTGTTACTCGGTATAGATATTTTTGATCACTCAATAAAGTTTTTAAAATATCTTCATCAATATCTAATAAATTAATTTCAGTATCTATATCTTGAATCACAGTGGAAATTATGAGATCATTGGCATTAGGAACAAGTTTACCAATAATGCCAGAAAACTTGTTATTTGAAGTTGTTTTCCCATCAATAATTGATATTAAGTGCCTCAATGGTAGTTCATTTGTGTGCAAAGCGCAAACTATCCAAATAAGTTTTGTTTGAAGTTTTTTTTCTAAATAATGAATGATACCTCCTTTCCAACCTAAAAAATAATTATGTTTAAAAATATGTATGACATTTTTTATCAAATATTTACCTGTATTTATTATCAAACATTTACCTGTATTAAGATGGGTAGAATCACAGCCTATAGCAACTAGAGTTGATTCTACCCCGTGTTCATTAATCCATTTATATATATGTTCTGCTATGTGCTCTACTGGAGTATTACACTCAGATCAGTTTTCTTTATCATTTGTAAAATAGTACAGATATAAACCACCTGGTCTGCACAAACCGAATAATGGTCTTCTTGAACAAGTCTGTGGTGAAATTTTCCATTTTCTCCAATCAAAGAACATTTTGTCTCATCCTTTCTTCCATCAAATAAAATACATTGAACTCCACCTTTCACAACATTATCATTTTCAGATTTTAATTGTTTCATCACCTTCAATTTAGATCTTTCAATTTTCCTATGATCTGTCACTATTTCACTGTCAAACACTTTCTTTTTAAGAAAGCCTGCTTCTTTAGCTGCTTTCAGTGCTAATGTTGAAATAGCAGCAGTTGCTCGATTTGATACCCTATATCGTATTGATGCTAATGCAACTTCTTCCATATTTAATGTCTTTTTTGAAACTTGTCTACTAATGTACTCAAAACTATTGTCAGAAACAACATCTTCATCATCAGTATTCGAATATTATCAATTGTTTCTTTGATTTCATTTTCTTGAAAATGAAAAGATAGGTATTCTATTTGTAGCTTCTTTTTTCCAGTGGCCTTTCTTTCATTTTATTTTTTTTTTGTCTATTGGTTTCTTTAAAATCCGGAGCAACCATTTGCATACTACTTTTTGTTTCAAATTTTTCTCTTTGAAATTTCATGAACTGAAGTTCTATTGTAGGAATTTTGTTTTCTCAATTGCATTGACAAGAAATATGCGCTTTAAAATTACAAGAATTACAACTTGCCTCCTCACAAGAAACAAAATCACACTTGCACTTTCCTATATCAAATAGCTTGTCTAGAGTAGAGTTAAATAATAGAAATAATTAAAGGTTTACACCTGTAGTTAATAATATTGGTAGCTTTTTTTCATTCTTTTATTATTTTATTAACACCAACTTTGTCCGTCACAATAGGAGTTTCAGGATTCGTTTTCAACCATTGTGTTTTCACTTTAGAGAAAACCTTTTTGCATGTATCTTTAAGTTTTGCATTTGCTTTGCAGTTTTTATCTCTTCTTAGAAGCAGACCATACTTTACAACATTTCTTAATGTGATTAACTCAGAACCTAAAAACTCACTTGCAAAACCAATCATAACACTTAGTTTGCAACTTCGACTATTTTTATGTGTTTGTTTAGCCGTCAATAAAGAACTCAAAGTTATCAATATATATATATATATATATATATATATAATATATATATATATATATATATATATATATATATATATATATATATATATATATATATATATATATATATATTTGTATAGTTTAACGGGGAGAGATTTTACAAAAAAACTAAAGCTTACAGGGACATTAGCATTATAAAAGAAACTTTTATAGAGAACAAAAATTACATACATCGACTGACAAATAGCCTGACTCGCAAGGGAGTGCTGCTACATTGACTGAGGGTTTGGTTTGGCCAGGCATCAAGGTCAGGCTTAGGGTTAGGGTTACGGCAAGGTTTAAATTTCGTTATATTATTGTAACTAATCATTTTTGTAAATAGATGAAGCTAAAAATTAAATATAGTATAAAATAAATAAATAAAAATAACAAAAATTAATATAAAAAATATATTTTTATAATAAAATAATAAATTTAAATATGTATAAATAAAAATAGAAATAAAATAAAAATTAAAAAAAATTTATAAATATGATAATATTAGTATAAAAAAAGTAAAAAGAAGCAACAGAACGGGAACAAAAACAACATGTCCCGGAAAGTCACCAACTAGGATGCTTTATATATATATATATATATATATATATATATATATATATATATATATATATATATATATATATATATATATATATATATATATATATATATATATATATATATATTATATCTGTTTACATCCATCACGCATATTTTTATATGTTATAAAAATTATAATAGAATAAAAAGTTTGTACCTATAGGTCCTCCAAAAGTACTTCCAACAATAATATATTTGCTCAAGTCAAACTGATTTTTCCAATCCATTTTATAAATTTCAACTTTTCTGTTAAAATTATAAATAATAATTACATTTTTTTACTAAAAGTAGTTAATATAATATTTAACTGCTTTTAGGCTTTAAGTGTCCAAAGATTACATTTAAACATTTAAAGATTAATATTATGTATTATAACATTTAAATATAAATATTACATACAAAGTAGTTTAATATATTTAATTTAATATTTTTATTAAAAGCAAAATTAAGACAATGATAGAAACATAATTTAAAAAATCATAATAAAAAAGTATAATTTAGTATATTAAAGTTATATTTAAAAAAAAAAGCCTAATAAGCTATACAAATTTAGGCAACAAATTGAAGTGTCTAGAGCCTAAATAAGCTATATACAAACTGCAGTAAAGGTCTAGTAAGGATAATTTGTAGAAGAATTTAAATAATTAGTACTTAAACAATTAGTAAATAATTATAATAATGTTTATATGAGAACTAACTTCCTTTTTACATTAAATTTCAAAATGCAAATATATTATTAAGGAAAGAATAAATGTATTATCAAATATAAAATATAAAGTTGTTAAAATAAAAGTTTATCAGAATCAAAATTAAATTTAAAATTTTTTCAAACTATTGATTTAAAAGTTTTTATTTATTGTTTTGAATTTAAAGGTGTTAAAACTCAACTTAGTACCGGGAAGTATAATATTCAACTTCTTGATGAAGTTCTAGCCCATTTAATGATGCTCTTTCTCTTCTAGATAAGGTCCAAAAATAAGTATTGTAAGCAAAGTTAAACCTGCTTTACCTGCCAAGGTTGAGTCTCTCTCCCATCCTTGTAATGTCGCATCTCTTTTCTACAAATACTATCATGGTCGCTGCTTAAAGGAGCAATTATCTCTAGCTCCATCAATCAAAACTCATTCCCTCTTGACTTCAGCAAAATTGCATCATTTTACTGTATCTGTCCCTGAAAGGTCTAAAAACTTTTTTTTATCTAGTTTTTTCACTGCATTTCAATCCATTGGAACTCTCTCCCATTTTAATGTTTTCCTAAATCATGCAATCTACAACTTTTCAAGTCTTCTGTAAACTGTTTCTTTGCTTAAAGAAAAAGAAACTTTTTGTTTTCTAGTAACCTCCAACTTAATTGTGGTTGCTTGCAGCCTTGTTTGAAGTGAATTACATCTTTCTTTTTTTGTAAACGAGTTTCTGTTTTTTTGGTGTTTTTTTGGTTTTAGTGTAGTTTTTTTTTTTACATTTACAGACTCTTAGTGTTTTTGTGTGAACAGAGAATTAAGCAAATGAGGCAATAGATTTTTTTGATTAATAAAAAAACATTTTGATTAATTTTTTTTGATTAATAAAAAAAATTTTGTTACTTTCAAACTTTGTTCAATTTTGAATATAATATTAAATGTAATAATTAACAACTTTATTTATTATTTTTTTTATTTTTTTGATCAACAGTGTCTACATTATTATTAATGTGTGTATTTATTTTACTTTATTATTATTAATATTGTCTACTTTATTATTATTAATGATCATTAAGTTTTAAATTGAAAAACTAAATAATATGATTATTTTTATTAGAAATTATATTAATGCAACCTTACACTTTTTATATTTTAAAATAACTTCAGTAATTAGTTAAATATAATTATGATAATTGACTGACTCAAACTAACAGTTGATATAATTTATCATAAAGTGATACATTTATGAATTCAAAAAACAATATACCACAAATAATATGCTTTTGTTTCAAAACAATTCTCAAAAAGTCATAATTTTAATTTTAGTACAATACACATATGCAATAATATTTATAACACGATGAACCAATATTATTTCTTTTACAGGAAAAAAAAGTTAAAAACATGATAGCAAAAACATGATAGCAAAAAACAATTGTTAAAACTATGCAATAAAATAGAATACAAACTTGGTTGAAACTTGTAACACTTAGCTATGAATGTCCATTCTAAGTGATTAAGTGATTCATACATCATTCTGGTGATTTTTTAACAAAAAGATTATTTTTAAACCATTTGTATTTTTAAATTTATCACTTTTAAATGGAAAACATATTAACTTTGATAAATGACATAAGTTATTGAAATTTCAACCATTTGAAATTTCAATAACTTATGCAAATGAAAATAAAAAAATTATTTTATGTACCTTCAGCTGTGTTATTAATAACTTTTTTAGTTTTAGGTGTATATTTTTGTTGACATTTCATAGTGATCATGTAACCTTTAATTTATTATGCCCTAAACTATTTATTAAGAAATTTTATCAAAACGACTGTTTCTGCGAGTCATATATTGAAGTATAAAATAAACAAAGCAGTTAAGTTAATAACTTTCCACTTCTATCTGGTGCATATTTTATCTGATACTTGTTAATTAATATAATTTTATTTGTTTGTAATATATTTATTACAAAGTCAATTTTATTTCAATAACTATGTATTCAAATAAGAAGGAAATTTTTAAACAATACTTGGGTGAAATAATGAGTAGGAGGGGAGGGGTTAAAATCCTACATTTTTTGTTAAACCAAATATTCTTCATTTTTTTAGAAACATTCAATTAACAATTCAGCTTTTGCTATTTTTTTGTGGTTGACCTTTTACTTCAATTTTTAACATTTAATAATATTAAAAAACTTAAAAACTAGAAATTTTTGCAGCGTGTAAAATTATGCAACTTTATGTTAAAATCTATGCAAATTAAATTTTGATTAGATAACTTACGTACGTTTTTACGTTTAAACAAAAATATGTCTTATCTAGTTTAAATTTTTTTTTTTTTGATTTTCTTCGCTAGAAAATACTTTGCTATTTATTTTGTAAACTGAATTTAGATATCGATTAAAATGAAAAATTTAGCAACAAGAAGTAACAAACTAAGAAATAAATAAATTATTAACTAGTAAACAAATAAATCAAAATTAATATTTGTTAATTTTAATTTGTTTGTTTACTAAGAAAAAAAGAAGTTTAAATTTCTTTAGAAATCTCCCAGTAATTGATGAATTTTATCATTATGAATTTTATTGCCTTTACTCAGGTTTGTTTTTGTACTTGTCTTGAAAAGAGTCAACAATAAATTATCTTTTGGAAATTTTCTTTAAATGAGATGCAGTTCATATATATACATAAAAAAACTTGGACAATTGTATCATTCTTGCAAATAGTTCAAAGTAGAAAATAAGAAAGTATTATGGGTTTAGAAAAAGATACGATGATGGAATAACTGATGTATTATGTTTTTAATCAGGTTTTTGCAATTTATAAAACAATTACAAATAAAATTTACAAAATACAAATATCATTGATTACAAAAATTCCTTGTAGTAATAAAGTTAAATGCTCAAACTATTGTGAAATCAAGATTTAGGTAACTTTTTTTTTAGGTAAGGTGCTCCAAAAAGAACTAAGTGTCTTATCGCAAAACACCTGATTCTTAGAAAGAACTCAAATCACTGTACCATGGTTGCAATGAATTTATTTTGCATTTTCAGTAGTAATTGTTACAAACTGTAATTTCATGTTACAAACTGTACATTACAAACTGTACATTACAAACTGTACATTACAAACTGTACGTTACAAACTGTAATGCCTAATTTTTTGAAGCATTTATAACTAGACATAATGATTAAGTAACTTATTGATAAAACAAAAAATATATATTTATCATGGATTCTACTTTGATAATAATAATAATTTCATTTAATTTAACAATTTATTGTTTTATCAAATAATCACTTTTATTGAAATTGAAGTTGAAGGCCAATATTTAAAATGAAAAAAATATATTAAATAATTCGAAATCAGCATAAAAAATTAATTAAGAAAAAGTGCTCAAAATATGATTGTAACATTGACTGGGTGTAATGTGAATGCAAGTGTACAAAGGGTGTAAAGGGTGGTTTCATCAATATTGTGAAGCAATTAATGATTCAGAAAAAAGTGATAAAAATGTGACAGAGGAATACAAGTGTTTTTTTCTTGAGATATAGGTCTTGATCTTTTTACTTTTGAAAAACTCTCCTTAATAGTTTTAGACATTGATTATATTTGATTTCAGATAGAGTGTGAAAAGCTAAAAAAACAGTTGTATTCAGTAAGATTCAACAAAGTTCAGTAAAAAATCAGTAGCAGAAGCTCCGCTTTCTTTTAAAATGCTTTGAATTGCACAAAAAAGCTGCCATAAGCCTCTAAACTGAAAAAGTGTGGTGTGTGTTCTAAGCATGGTGATATAGCTAGAATGATGTTTAGCGCGTGGGTTTTTAAATTTTTTATGTTTATGTTCTGTAAGGACATCCATAATTCACTTTATGTGTTTGTATGTTTTTGTTCTGTATGGACCTCTAGTGCTGTGCTGGTTCACCTACAAGTCACTTTATATAAAAGTTTTTGTTTTGTTAGAACCTCTGGCAATTTTTAATTCACTCTGTGTGTGTGTGTGTGTGTGTGTGTGTGTGTGTGTGTGTGTGTGTGTGTGTGTGTGTGTGTGTGTGTGTGTGTTCATTGTAGATAAAAATGTGAGAGCAAACAAAAAACTTTATTT